GATATTGATTCTGGTAGATCATAAGATTCCGTCTGAAATATAACCTGTTCACAATGTTCTAAATGCTACCTGAAAGAAAAGGCAAGAAAAGGAAGAGATTCCAATGGCAGAGAACCACCAGAGAAGGGGCTCTAGACACCCAGAAGGGATCTCTAGAAGCCACCTAGGGAAAAGTGCTTGGGAGCATTTTTGTTATTTGATGTTATCTGTTACAGAGTCTTTGAGTTTTGTACTAAAAGGATATTTAAGCACTAGATGCCCAACTATTCACAGCATATGTTGTTGTATGCATCAACAAGAGAAATCACTTTCCATATATTCTGAAATTACTAAATAGGGAAAGATTTAGACCCCAAAATCCTCCAACTTACCATTCAAGTATCTAGGACTCCCTCCGTTCCCTTTTACTTGTCCAATATACCAAAAGTAAATTTTCCCTTTTACTTGTCCACTTAGGCAAAAGCAAGAGAGAATCAATTATTTTTTTCCATTTTTACTCTCATCATTAAGTAACCGTTAGCCAAACTAATTGAAGTATTACTAGCCAATTTAAATTTTCAAAGTACCATTTATAAGGATAATTTAGTTAAATAAACACTTAATTAATGATTTCTTAAAGGGAATGCAGAATGCAAAATGGACAAGTAACAGGGAACGGAAGGAGTAAAAATTTGCTTGTCTGCATGAATAGTGGAAGTTCGAGAAACACATAAGGAAGGAAAATCATCTATACATGTCATCATAAGATGCAGGATAAGACTAACCAGAATGTTGGATGATTATTTCTAGTCAACGACGAATAGCTCTGCCTTAACCCTATCTCCATCATGACTCTATTCAGTTATCTTACTTAATCGGCGGTTACATCCTGGCATGGTACACTCCAAGATTGAAGAAATAATACAGAACTGAAGCCAAAGCTGGTTTTGTCGCAAAATTCAACACTAACACTCAAATATTATTTAGATAATTTCCCTAGTTCCAAAATTTGCAACCACCTGCTACAGTCATTGCTGAGTTTCCCCACTTAATCATTCTGAACCTTGAAAAAGCTGCCATTCTCAGATGGTTTGCTTTTGAGGGTGCTAGAAGCACCTAGTCAGTTAGCTTTGCACCATTGTTTGTCAAGACCATTATGGTCAACACAACCGACGTTCAGCATTGTTAATTCCCAAAGAGAATACTTCTAGGAGAAGATATAACTTATGGCACAGAATGTGGGGCCAGTTTTCAGCAATCATCCGCACTGTGTATCAGATGTGCTTCAAAATTCTAGAGGGCAGCATATACCACGAAGTTTGTGAAGTAACATAAATCAACATAAAGTACTGTTTTTTTTCTTATTGCTATGTAATAGGATGTATTGTTTATGTGATTATGTCATGTTGATAATACAAGACTCTAACTCACCAAACATTTCCTCTGTCAAGACTTTGGAGCTAGTACAAGGTTGCAGTTTGATCTTGATAATTCAAAGGGGTTACAAATATTTCACAGCAATGCACAACAGAATCAAATAGTTCCTACACAGGAGGAATGACAACAAACCTAGTAGCCCTTTATCTCTTGCATCAATTTCTCATTTTATTCTTTTGTCTTTTTGGTCCATCACATGTTCAATCTTGTTCTCCTTAAAGAATTTCATACCAATTGGTTTGTTGATAATTAGAGCACAACAGGCATACAGACAAGGTCACAAACCACAAAACTAAGAAATTCTAACCCCCTAACTTGGTTACAAGATGCTGAATAAATCATCCATCAAATGTCTATACAATTGCCAGCTAAGATGAATAATTCACTGAACTTGCATTTCCATATGTGTGTTTAATTTAATGAAGAAAAAGAGAAAACCAAGAACTATAGGCAAGATTTAGGACATACCTTTCTAAAAAGGTGCGATGAACCTGTAGTATGCCTCTTTACATCTTCTAAAGTTCCCATAACTTTGCCTTTTTCAGAATCCAACTCAACAATCCCTATATGAACTTCATCACTTCTAACCAAACCCACCTCACCTCCAAACTTACCCCCCTTCTCTTTGGCACCACCCATCCCCAAGTCCATCCAAAATACAAATCCAACAAAGAAGAGATAAAACGCAACAAACCCAATAGCTTGCCAGAGGAAAATCTCAGAACTTAAGTAGACATAAAAAAGAAACAAAGCAGCAGTCAAATAAAACATCACATCCCTCACAAATGGAGCAGGATCAACAGCAAAAGGTGCCGCGTAAATCGCCACGAACCCAACAACAAAAGCAGAGACAAAAGTCCCTGCTGAAAGAATCGCGCCAAACCCAGTCCTGGCTTGACCTCCCCTAACTGCAGCCACAGATGCAAAAACATCAGGCGCACCATTACCTAAAGCCAAAAGGGTCACTGCACCCATAGAAGGCGACAGCTTAAGATGCGTAGAAAGCTTAGTAACCACAACAGAAAAGTAATCTTGGGCAGTCTTGATAAGGATGTAGAACTGTAGAAATACACAGAGGGCGAAAAATGGGATGGAAAGAGATGGGTTTTCTTGGAAGAGACAATAGTGCAAGGAAAAGTAGTTAAAGATTCCATTGGAGTCAGTGAAATTGCTGGTCGAACACACAAAATGGTCGGATTTTTCTTCAAAAATGGTGGCATTCAAAAGAAACCTGTGGGGAATTAGTGGAGATTTGTGAATTGGATTTGGGGAATATTGGGGAAGTGGAAGGACGATGAAGAAGAAGAGGATAGTGATGATGAGAATCAGTGAGATTACAGTGGTGTTGAAGCATGAGAAATTGAAGGCCATGCCATTCCAGAATATTGAAGTTGAAGATCGCGCTTTTTCAAGACTTGCCTTTTTTTTGTGTACCTTTTAAACGCGTTTTCTTGTGTTTACAATAATGGAGTATAATTTCTCTGCCCTGTGGGATCACTAGATCCGTTTAGAGATTAAATTAAAATACTGCAAGCTAAGATTAAAAAATAATACAGTTAAATTTATGAGGTCAAGAATACGTATTTTAATTTAATTTTTAAAAAATATTTACTAGCAATTCGAATATTAATAGATAACATGCAAAATAAATGAAATAGTCAAGATTTTATATATTCATTGAATACGTATCTTAGAACTCAGATTTTAACTCCGAAGGAGTTCTTAGATCAGTATGTTAGACAAAAGCTTAAGTAAAGTAAAGATTAGCTAGATGTTCTAAAAAGGGGTACATTAGTGGTATGGTACCTTACTAATGTGTGAAGTAAATAAATTATTTGTAAGTTATAATTTTAAGGCGTTAGTCAATGGAAAAGCTCTAATTAAGACTTGAAGTATAAAAGTTAATATAATGTCCATATGAATTTATCTGCGCACTTGACTCTTCTATTATTTTATTTATTTCTCATTGCTTTTTCATCTATGTCATCGAGTTAAAAATAATAATTGATTCTTTAACTTGTTTCCTCTTTCTTTCTCGAGGATGCCCTTGCAAAGATTTGATTATCTTACCTTTATGTTCACTCCGTGAATGTTATGTGCGTTTATATGATTTTCCTCATACAATATGAAAATAAATTATATTTTTATTTGTCGCAATTTATGTGAAGGTGTTTAGAATATGATGATTTGAACACTTAACTCGAACTATGAATATATGTGTATAAGTACTTCAAACAATTTTAAATAACATTTATATATTTAAAATCTATACAATAAGTAAGTGAACAAATTAAAATACTCTTAACCTTTGAGAAAACAATAATCAAAGATTATTATTATTTTATTTCCTCCTCGTAGGCTCCTCAACTTTATTCTCTTTGTTAACTCAAACTTATGACCTCGAGATTGGAGATAAAAGGTATTGACCACTTGATCACAAGGGCGGATCCACGTGGGTTTTAGGGGGTTCACTCAAACCCCCTCGGCAAAAAATTACACTATATATATAAGGTAATTTTCTGTAATTATGTGGATATATATATTTTGAACCCTCTCAAAGACATTGAGAAACAAATAGCCTAGTGGCAGGTTTCCTGGAAAGTAAGCTTCACGTCAAGGGTTCAAATCCTTGCATTAACATTTTATTTTTTTCTTTTCCAGTTTCAGTTTTTTTTTAAAGTTTCAGTTCCGTTTTTCACATTTTTTTTTTAGTTTTTTATTTTATAAAACATGCTAAAAGTGTGATTTTAAATCCAAAAAAATCAAGGGTCCACCACTAAAACTATATACTACTAGTTCCTTGAAATTTTGTTTTGTTGGCTTATATACACGTTTATACTTTTATTTTTCGAACTTCCTGAATGAAAATTCTGAATCCGTCACTGCTTGATCAATGTAATATTTTCACATAAATTTAAGAAGGAAATTGCGTATAATTAACTTCATTCCCCAAACTTAGGTAGATAAGGAAAAAATGTTAAGTTTATACTAATAAATATATGTTATCTTTATCAACAAAGATATTTTTATCCACCAAAACTTAAATGAATGACAAAAACTTATTATTAAAAAAAACCCTTAAGAAATCATTATTTTTCCTTGTGAATGGTTGAAATGTACCTATTCTATTATCAGGTTATACATTTAAAAAATAAATAAGTTTCAGAAATATTAAGGAGCTTTGCTTCAAAAGATCTTAATTAATTAAGAAATCACATAGAGAGTATTAAAAGTTAAAATTGTGTCGGGAAATGTATTTATGTGTTGAAGTCTCAAGAATTTAAAAGTTGATCCAAGCTAATATTTGAGAACTTGAAAAGGTTTGAAGGTAAGAATTTCAAATTACTATCTAATAAGCTTTTGAAAATACATGCAAGATATTTTCAAAATTTGAATAAAAAATTATCGAATTAGAATTTAAATTAATGTATGATTAAATGTCTGCCTATATATTAGATCTTATACAAAAAAGCAAAACATCCTTATTATCTAGTTACATTTTTTTCAAATTGTTTGATAGATTCTATTAGAAAAATATTGCATTCATTAATTTTGTATATACTCCACCAAACCACACAGAACAAAGTCAGCAAGGGCTTTCAACGCTCTATAAATACAGAATCCCTAAAACATAAAGTACAGAAGAACTCTTGAGGAAAAGAAATTCAAATAAATTTCCATCTTTGGGTATTTGCCGCTCGCTAAATTTTTACCAGATATCCCTAGGTCTCCATCAGAGTTGGACCCTTGTCTGCATCTGGGTATCGCCGGAATCTACCTCACAGTTGAATTTCTCAAATTTTTTCTTCAACAACTTTCTGATGGAATCTCCTTGGAGGTATCAGTAGTCTACCTTTTTCATTCATATCTTACATAGCTGTTTAGTTTAGATTTCATTTTACACAATATGGTGAGATAGAAACCCTAAAATATAGCATACACCTAAGGAAGATGTTGATTTTCATATTTTTTTGAGTGCTTTTGGGCACTTTCGTAATGCTGAAAGTAAACATTTTTCTGGTCAAAATCTTTTAAATGCAGTTACCCAGTTGTTTGTGCAGAGCTAATTTTTAGTAAGTTCAGTTAAGGGTATGCTGGAAAGATAAAATCTTGTCAATAGTTGTGTGCTATTAAGGTGTATAGAAGAGTTTTCACTTTTCTTGAGACAATATTTCATTTGTGAAAACTGTTGAAGAATGTATGGCTGATTCATTGTTTGTTGGTCCTTTTTTTTGGGGTTTGTTCTGTGTATTTTGCTGCTCTGGGAAAGGGTACTCCCATATCATGGTTTTAGAGCCAGAAGCATCTTAATCATTATTCCCAATGTTGAGTGCCCATCTTATTTAGTCTACGCTCTAGATGTCCAGTCTTGGGTGTGCGGGGTGTTGAGTCCCACATCGGCTCTCTTAGGGATTGGAGGTCGATGAGCTAGCTTTTGGGGTTGAGTGAGACCATAGGTTTGTAACATGTACCAAAATGAATTGTCTTTTTGCCTAGAACTAATTGATCACAGTGAAATTGCCTAGGACGGAAGGTACATTTTCTTAATCCTACATGGAGCTGGAATGAAAAGATGCATTTTGTTTAATAGAACAAGATCTGACATTGGATAGTGCATTAGACATTTACTACATATAAAATCTAACAAGGTCTAATTAAAAAATAATAGTAACAATATACTTTTAATAATTTTAACATACACAAACTTGTCATTGATAAGGGAAGAAAGACCATGTGAAAAAATAATAACTGAAAACCAGTCAAACCATGAGCCTAAACTAGTGCTTATGGCGAATCTTTGTCCTCGTGGCATGACCTCGAAGGGAGTAATTACCTCACTTGGACTATCAGGTGGGAACCACCCAAGCAGCACACCAAGGTGAACTACAGCAGGTATAAGCTTGAAAAGCAATGGTGTAGACCTGCCAAAAGATTTGTCATAATTCAGCTAGAAAAACAGAACTAAGGACAGACTGTGAATAGAAAATGAGTTATTCTTCATATGCAATCATGGAGATGCTTCCATTTAAGAGGGTACTTCTATTTTGATCTCTCTATCTCTTGCCTGCACGTGCTTCCACTGGCACACAAAACGAAATGAAACTTTTTCTTAAATCGTAAAGAAACCATTTTGTACTTTTGCATCATATGAACTGTATTTGCTTACTCCAGTGAGGCTCTTATTTTATTGGTTTTAGGTCCTATGGAGAGCGAACTTTTTATATGTCAAGTTAGGAGTATTTTTTTTATTCTAGCGATTATCATTATAGAAACTAATGTTGCATTTTTCATGTGCATTTCAGAGCTTCTCAGACTTCTTTGCCGAATCATGGTGAAAATAATGGTTCAACTCCGCTGCATCCTGAACCACTTAATGTGGCCCCCATAAGTTGTGTTCCATATACTGGCCCTCCTCTACCATACAGTTATCATACTTCAGCGTCACCAGACATTAATACTGGTTCAGTCCCAGTTGAAGCTGATTCCAAGCATATCAGCTCTCAGCAGCATGCTGGGGGTCAGCCTGCAATGATTTTTTTCACTGCTTGTCCAGCCAGAGAGGAGTGGGATAATCTCATAAATTATGCTAATGGTGGGGTTGCACTGACTGGATCTGCTTTATTGGGAAAGGTTGGACCACTTATTGGATCAGTTGATATTGCTGAATCCGAGGATGACTATGTATTTCGTGTTTCACTCCCCGGTGTCGCAAGGGATGAAAGTAAGTTCTACATATGAGTAAGATTTTCTTAAGTAGAAAATTATCTTTTTATAACTCTGAGGAATCATTTGGTGTGAGGTATAAGGTATAATAATTCTAGGATAAAATGTAGGATTATTTTATCCCATGCTTGGTTTGAGGTATCAGGTAGTCCTTGGATTATTTATTCCACCATTTTTGTCATAGTGATGGGATAAGTTACCCCATATACTACACGGTGGGATAACTTGCTGATAAATATGCTGCATACTCCACCTTACTCGGATAAAATTTGTGGTTTACTTTTTCTCAATATGTCCCTTCATTTCATACTGAAACTTGAATATGAAATCAATGCATGAAGAATGAGTGATATCCAAAAAACCAGGAGGTTTAGACGTAAAGACCTCATCTCCAATAAATGCTTGCTTTTTTAGCTTAATGTGGATGTGTTATATTTTAAGTGTGGAACTTTATTATCTCACATCAATAAATCCTTGGTTTTTTTAATGCATGTTTTTGTTTATAACATTGGGCTGCTCTTGTTTTGATTCCACAGAAGGGCTTTCTATGTTTCCTCTAACTGATTGTAGTCCATCATTTAATCTGTTCTTTTTATGTGGTCAATGAATTTCAAACTGCATCCATATGAATCCAATTGATGATTAAGAGATCTTCCCGTTCATGTGGTTACAGGAGTGTTTCGCTGTGATGTTGGACCTAATGGGGCAATCGTCATAAAAGGAGTGAGCGAGACTGGAGAGAACATGGTTCGCAGGGACAACATGGTTTTTAAGATGCAAACTCAAAACCTATGTCCACCGGGAGAATTTTCTGTTTCATTCCAGCTACCAGGTCCAATTGATCATCAAAACTTGAATTGTGTTTTTGGATCTGACGGGATTTTTGAAGGAGTTGTGAAAAAAAGGACAACAGGTCCTTTAAGGGGTATTTAGATCAGAATATTCAGCTTGGTAAGTACCTCTTCAGTTCAAAGTACTTAGTGTGGAATTGCATGTAATAGTTGTACCTATGCCCTTCCCCACTTTCTTATGCTAACCATATTGGCCATTATAGCACAACTGATTATGTCATTTAATCATATTGCTTCTTGATCTATGAACAATCATTCTGCTTAGTTTTGGACTATGAATGAGCTTTGTATTGTTTTGATTTTTGTACGTTGAAATAATTATCATTCATAGTCACCATTAAAGAAATGTGTAACTTATTCTCTTTTTTGCTTGTAGATGGTAGGAGAGAGGCCAAATTTGAGAAGACTAGGAGCAATGCTGCTGTTGATTTCAGGACCTCTGTGCAGCTTTAGGCCTTATTTTGCATCATACTTTAGTTCTTTTGTGTGTATGTCTTTTTGTTCTTTCCATTGTTAAGACTTGCTAAGGGCATAGCTTACCAAACTGGGCTACTTTTACAGAATGGAAAGTTTGGGTCCACGTCTCTGAAATCGGCTTATCCACGCGATTTCACCTTTGTCTCAGCACTCTACCCCCATTGCCTGTCTAAACTAAAGGATTTTGTTTTGTATTTGAAGACCAAGTATTTGGTCCTTGCTGTTTAATTTGTTTGCCATGCTACTATTATATCCTGTAGTTTGCATCAAATTGAAAACTTGCTCACAGGGAGCAACCTTTTTGGAAAAATGTCATGAAAATGTAACACATAGTGGTTTTTAGTACAGAAGAAAATGTTTTACCGATTTATTTGGAAATATTTTCTTCTATTGTATTATAATCCGTCTTGGTAATGCTAAAATTTCTATAAAATCTTAGTCCGTAAATAGTAATGTAGTAATACATATTTTGTTATAATTAAAATGAAAGTAAGGCATTCAACTTCGAAAATGAAACTAGTACTAAACGAATAATCTAATGTCAGGTAAACATTCCAATAGAGAAGAAAGTATACTACTACTTTGAATATGAATATGACACATAATGCTCATCACAAAAATATCAAAAACCTCATCAATGAAGGGAAACAAAAAAATATCAGTAAACAGAAATATTCCTATATCATAAATACCACATTTCAATTTCTATCATATATACTGTGTGAGATGTAGTCATAATTGCTGTGTCCTGCACTCTTTTTTGTGGTTGGTTATTCTTTTGGGGACTAATAGTAGTTGAGCCATTAATAGGAGTAGTTGTGTAGTTGAGCCATGAAAGATTCAATTCAAGATCATCCACTTGAGTAGTACCGTGTACGTGTACTCTTCACCACCTGTCTACATCTCTGCCACTCATTTACATATATATATATAACCGTAATGTTAGACCAGTTTAATCGCACCTCGACTATTTCCAGAGGTTATTTGTTACCTTCCACTACCACATATATCGGGTAATTCTGTCCACCTAAGCTTGAACAGCTGGAAAGGAATCACCTAATATTTTGTCACTGAAATTTGAACTGAGGACTCATGATTCTTGTCATGACTGTTGGAACGAAGTGTTGTGGAATATTATGTTCATGGACCTTTAAATTTAACAACTTGAAATTTACCTCTTATCTATCCTGGCAGGTAGATTTAATTTCTTGACAAAGTCCATTAGATGGAAGTTCAGTTTAAGTGAAAAAAGATCATTAGAGAAATAGAAAACGACATCGATAAGTACTGTTGATATTATATTTGTGTAAATACTGTCTGTTATGCAAATTTTGTGTTTCGAGTCAGTTGTATTACACATCCCTTTAGGAAGAAAATGATTGTTGTCTGAAGGACTAAAAGAAAGACTGGTTCCTAAAATTCCTAAATTAATTAGCACTCTTAAAAATTCAATGCATGAAAGGGACACTATGGTGATGGAATTATATAATATAGCAAAGAAGAATAGACTGTATAGTTCAGAACAGAGGAAACTAAAGGGATAGTATACCTGCTGAAGATATGGTGAAAGAAAATCCAGTAACTGGTGAATCTATATTTATCGAAAAGAGAAATCACTGTGTGATTTATCCAGCAAGTGGCAGTATGGTGGCAGAGTCTGTGGAAAGAAGAAATAAGAACTGGTAGAGTGTATCTGATTTTTGTTTTTGTTTAAGTGATAGTGATTTAAGTTTTATTCCTCTGCAGTGGCTAATGAATGTAACAACACTGGTGCAGGTTTGTCCAAACAAAAATACCAAGTGATTTGATAGTAGAAATTAGAGACCAAAGCTTCCACTTGCATAAGGTACACAGCTACACTGTCCATTTCTCTAATAGAAAGGAAAGTCCCAAATATATAAAGTTCAAAATCGCACCATGTATTAGCTTTCTGCTTTTTATATGACTGATCTTTCCAATTTTTTGACTAATATTTGGTATACTAGATGGAATAGGCATTCTTAGAGTTATATTTTTGTGTTATGAAGTTTAACTACGCTTTCTATGGAACTTCTTTAAGTTATTCTTGTCAACTTTCAGCTTTCCGTGGTTTCAAGAAGTGGATACCTTAACAGATTGGTATTCGAAAGGAATGGGAACAACTATACTAGAGTTCAGATTGATACAATTCCTGGTGGGGCTAAAATCTTTGAATTAGTAGTGAAATTTTGTTATGGACTGAAGATCAAAGCTACAGCTTCAAATGTTGCCCCACTGTATTGTGCTGCTCATTTCTTGGAAATGAATGATGAACTTTACCAAGGAAATCTAATTTCTAAAGCAGAGGCGTTCCTTAGCTACGTAATCCTTTCTTCATGGAAAGACACATTTAGGATCTTGAAAAGCTGTGAATCAGTTTCGTCATGGTCTAAAGACTTGCACATTGTCAAACGTTGCACGGAAGCCATTTCTTGGAAAGCTTGCTCAGAGACTGGAGTGAGTAGTATAGGAGACAATGAAGTGTTAGTGAATGTTACAGCAGATGATACAACCAAGTTGGTGAAGTTGTGTGGCAATTGGTTTTTCCATGATTTTTCATCCCTTCGGATAGATCATTTTATCGAAGTAATTTCATTGATCAAAAAGAGAAAGATTAAGCCAGAGCTTGTGGGGTCATGTATAGCTCACTGGACAAAGAAGTGGATTTCTCAAATCACAGTTTCACAAGAGAAATCGAAAGATCAAGAATTGTCCATCCAGCTACAAAGAGTGACAACTGAATGTTTGATAAGGGTGCTTCCTGCTGAAGAAGACTCAGTTTCCAGCAATTTTCTGCTTCATCTTTACAAGATTGGGCTAATTATGAATATCAATCCCAAATTAAAAGATCAGCTCAAGACAAGAATAGCTCTCATGATGGAAAAATGCAGTGCTAAAGACCTTCTAGTCAGGAACAGTACAACTCTTTTCGACGTGGATATTGTTGTTCAAGTGGTAGAAGCTTATGTTTCTCTTGCATCAAATAATCCCAAGTCAAGAATGTGTGTTGTCGGGAGGCTAGTGAACGACTACCTCGCCCTCATAGCGAGGGATGAGAACCTTGTAGCAAGAAGCTTTGACTCTCTTGTAAATGCATTGCCAAAAGAAGCAAGATTTTGTGATGACAACCTATATAGGTCCATAGACATGTACCTCAAGGTATGCATAACGCATTTTCTCTTTTCGTCCAATCTCAAAAAATTGATTTCTTGGAAATTGAAATGAAATGGCTTATTGCAGGAACATCCTGACCTAACAGAAGAAGAAAGAAGAAGCATATGCAGAAAAATGGAGTACCATAAGTTATCACAGGAAGCGCAAATACATGCCTTGAAGAATGATAGGCTGCCAGATAACATCAGGACACAATTTATACTTCTTGAGCAAGTCAATATGATGAGGTTACTAACTTCAGATGGTTCAAGTTACCAGAGAACTAAGTCACAGACCATAATGAAAGTCAGCAGCGGTTTACGCAAGAGTTGGATGAATTCCTCCCAGACAGAAATGAAAGCGATAAAACAAGAGCTTGAGATGTTAAAGGCTCAAGTTGGTGAACTGCAACAACGTAGGATGGAACTTCAGCAGCGAACAAAGAAAGTTGTCTTTTGTTAGTTTATTATGCTTCATGTCTGTTTAGTGAATTGAAAATTTGGACAATGTGGTTTCAGTTTGTTGAACTCAAGCTGGTGTGGTTGATGAGATTTGCCCTTATTAGTCTGGTAGTAGGAATAGTTATTTAACATTGAACTGGTACCAGAGTCTATGTTTTTTAAAGGCAGATTGTTTAAATGATATGTCAATGGACCTTATAACTTAGGGGTGATTTTCGAGAGTGACTTAGAGATGAGTGATTCTTGAACTTTCTAAAGTTAGCATAACTTCAAGTTTAATAACTTTTGGAAGGTTAACAAATCGAACTAGTAGAGCAAAAAACATCAAAGATAATATGTGATAATAAGTATGATAAAATGACTTACTATCATACATATTAATAGAAAAAAAAAATGATGACATATATCATATTTAAATTTACGATTCCAAAATTATAATTTCATTTTTTGAACCTCCCATAAAATGAAATGGATCTTTTAAGTTATTAATTTTGTTTCTTTCTAACAAGTGATGCGATATTTATTGGAACACTTGTGACTTGAAAGAATATTCAACAAAACTTCTTGGGGCTAATTTAGAAAAAGGAGGGAAAAGGGGGAAATTGCGGGAGTTCTTTCACAACGTTTCCGATAGATTTTGGCAATTGTCGATGGCTAAAGACGGCGGAAACGCGGCGGACCCACCGGCCTCCGACCCAAACCCGTGCCCGATTTGTCTTGCACCAGTTACCGAAGAGTCCTACTTGGATCAATGTTTCCGTACGTTTCCTTTCTTTTTAGTTTTACACATATCTTCTTGTAGTTTTATAAGCAGTCATTGTTTAGATGCAATTTCATAAGTTTTAATCCCCAGTTCAGTTTCTTTTCTTTTTTGCTATGTATGGATTGTTTTTTTATAAATAAATCAGTTAGTAAGTGCTTAATCCAATCATGTTTTTCTGCAGACAAATTTTGCTACAGCTGCATTCTGCGTTGGATAAAAGTGGTTTCGAGTAAGCACTCTCGTGCACCTGCTTCAGTAAAGTGTCCTCTATGTAAGGTTCGAAACCTGTTTTATCATTCTTGTTGGTTCCTATTTCCTCTCAGTGTATTGGCAAAAGTAGATCCCTCTCAGGAATGTTAGCAATTTGGTATAACTAAAATTTTAGGGCATTGATTGATGAACTATTATTAATAGTGATATGATTCCTTCTAGATGCCACACTTTTGCGTAAGAGGGCTTTTACTATGCAGGAACCTCAAGAAAAATGGAACATTTTCTGTTAAGATGAATTTGAGAGGATTCTAGTACTAACATCCATATAATTGTGTGTCACACACACTTGTGAGATCAAGACCGCGGGATTAGATATTTGGTCTTACAAACTTTTTGCTTGATTGGAAGAGTTGCCGAGCCTTGAACACAGTGTGGAAATACCAAAGTGGATAGATTGGAGATGTGTATAAATCTATGCAATTTATTTGTAAATGTTTTACTGAAATTAATCAGATTTTGGTCCCTTTAGAAACTCTGTCCGACTTCTGTTTGCCTATTGAATGTTTTGGAGTTGCTTATCTAAATTTTATTGGTGGGGACATTTATATCTGGGAATCGAAATGAAAGAAACATGGATTTTTTTTACATCTTATCTTTGACGTATTGTATCACATTGGGTATGTTGTTGTCGTTGTTTGATGGTATCAACATTTTGTCCAAAACAAAAAGGAGGCTCAAAAAGACAGGAAATTTGCCATTAAAGGCAGTAATTTTGTTTAAAGCTCGAGTTATGTGCCTCTTGTCTCTCTGAGTCAATGTGCTAAGGCATGCACCTCATTAACCAGTGACTTTCTCATTAAGAGGCAAGCACTAGACAACAGATACATGTGCAAAGTGATACATTATTTTTTTTAAAACATATGAATGAATTTTTATTCAGAATAACTTAGAAACTTAGAAAGCTGACACCTTTCGTTTTTCATTTCCTTTTCTGGAGGATTCTATATTTATTATACTTGGTACTTTTGAAATCAGTATATTTCTGACTCTTCTAATAACTGACAAAATTTTTTAGCTCTTCTATTATTAATATAAAATATTTTCTGCTGGATTTCTTTTGCAAATCAACACTCTTCTTTATCTGTTATGCAGACAGAGAATTTTTCTATTATACGGAGCTATAGTGGAGGGTTTTTTCAACAACATTCTGTAAATGAAAACTTGGACAATAGGTAGTAAAGTCCTCTATACTTGTTCTGCTTTGTTTGTTACTATTCTAGGTTAACGTATTGAGCTCCTTTATATGACATTTGTATTCCAGTGCGTTCTTCACAAAATCTCACAAGTATAGATTGCAGTGCTACTATACCGATGAAGGTAAAGTGTTTTCCATCAGTGGTTTACATTTTAGCCATTTCTACCAGATATCTTTTATGAGATATCACTTTGCTTCCAAGAACTTGAAATTGGTAGTTCTGCAGGGGGCTTATTTGACAAATTCAATGTGCTACGTTATTGGAAGTTGCAGAAGTACCTTCAGCCCAATCCTTGGCTTATAAGTTGGTTGAGAAGAGAAATCCAGTCTTTGACTCAGGTCCTTCAGTCTCATCTTTTTCATTGATTAAATGTTGTAATCTTTAATATAGACTGCACTTCTAACTCAATCTCTTAAGAACTTTTGATTATGATGGTCAATAAAGACGATGAATCCTTGAATCACAAAAAATAAGAAGCATATTTAATGTTTCACAGAGAAAACAACTTCTGATTATTGTTCTGTACTGATAACCTGTTTCTTGCATTCCTTGTCTTCTGTGTTCTTATAGCTGAAGTATGGAGATGAAAACCCTTTTTATTTCCAGACTGAACAAGTTTCTTGGGTTCTTTGTAAGGTAGAGGTGAATACTAATTTGCAACCAATAGGAAACTGTCTGTAGAACCAGCATATCCATGGGTATTTCTTAGTCAATCTTTAATTAGTCTTCAGTTGAAGTAAATCTTGGTGTAACTAGCCAGTTTTCCACTCAGAATAAGGTTGAAGTCACTGGAATATAATCTCTGCGGTGTATAGGTAAAACTGTCTACACTCCTTGTCTGATCCGTGAAAAAGCTTCCTGTAACTAGTTATCATCAACAACCCATTTCTCATCTTTGGCAAGTAGGCAACTGGCTTCCTATATGCCTATTTCCCTCCCCAAATAGTAGAACTTGTAACTGTAAAGAGCTTATATTAAAAATATTCAACATGAATTGATGTCATTTTGATCCCAATTTCTCATAAAATGATTTGTTGAAAACACATCATAGTTGTCTAAAACATTACAAAATAGCCTGAATATGGCGGCCTATTCAAACTTTTTTCCCTTGATTGCTGTGACTGAAAGTCCTAAAATGGCACCCATGGAGAACTTTGGTGATTATCGATCATGTCATTCTTATTGCAATAGTACATCAAATTATGCTTAAGTACTAGACATTTTTGTAACATCTGAGATAACTTTATTGTATGACATTTTTGCTAAGTTTGATTCTTTTGTGCATCCTGCAGGAAGAAGATGTAGATATTATTGTACATCATATACTTGGTGTGATTGATTCATTTAGAAGGTACTGTTTGCTGTAAATAGTTGATTTTGCATACATTGAACTCGCCACCATCAAGCTAACCTCTTTTTTACCAAAAAGAAAAAAGAAGGCTAACAGCTCTATGAGAAAATTAAATGGCATTTTCTTGAAAATTAGTTACCTCAAAGTTATCGTGTTATTGTTCTCATGTTCGCTTAATTGGTCATCATTATGCATTTTCAATATTAGATGAATGATCTCTCTGCTGGTTAATTTGCAGAAATGAGCAAAAGCAAATAAAAGTTACTCCTCAAGCAAAGCAAGAAGAGTTCAAGATCATGGTATCTGAAGCAGCAAGACCTTTCCTAACAGGTCGAACTGATCGATTTGTGAACGAGTTAGAACTATTTCTGGCTTCTTCTTTGACTGTTGATGCTTTTGATAGAGTTTATATCCAGCATTTGGGTTGGAAAATTCCTGAAATGATGGGGGAGGGTGAGGTAGGAGAACCAGTTGAACATGCCCCTTTGGTTCCCTATGTGTACTTGTTTGATGAAGTTTGTGATGGAAATGAATAGATTTTTTGTCCTTGAATCTTAAGTTCACCTCACTTGACATATTTTAGCTGGTGCAGGCACAATTTGTCAATCATTGATTATATGTTTGCTATTTCTCACATCCATGGCCTTGTCCCTTTTAGGCTATTCACAACTCGCAAATTTAATGTTTGAGGTCAGCTTGCTTAATATTGTTGCGTCGTACTAAAATTGTAAGTTCCAAATCTTGCCTCTTATTGTACAGCTACTTGCCAATTTTTATCTGGAGTTCTGGGAATGTACAACTCATATGCTGTTCTTCTTGACTTGTTTAAGTTCACTACAACGATTTTCCAATTGATTATGGATATGTTTACATCACATCTTGTGACTAAACATTCAATCTCCATTACTATAATGTGCTAAGCAAGAAGCATAGAAAAGATTAAACAAACATGGTTGGCAGCCTTCAGTAATGTATATGAATATAATAGGCTGATACGGCAGGCGGCAAAAGTCCAGAATGGATGCCAATGGCGTTTTACCAAGACGGACAATATTATCTATTTAGCCGGCCAATTGGCCAAGTTTGACAACTAATCAGTTATCAGAGTCCAATTTTCACTAATCCAGAATTGCCTCATGTAAGTCCACTTAGAAGATAAAATTATCTCTATCAAAATGTTTTTTATTCTCAGGCCCTAGAAATGATGTTTTACCAACTGCACCATGTTGTGACTTGTGTATCATGAATTCATAGTTGAATGAAGAAAAAAAAATACAAAATGAAATTAGTGTCTGGAAAGTAGTAAAGTTTAGCAAGAAAGATGCAAATTAAGCAAGAACAAGTAGTGATATATGTGATTTGCAACTTTTTATAAATTATTCGACCCAAACAACAATGAAATAGATTTATCATAAATTATTCATATTTTAAAAAAAAGTTATGTTTATTCATATTTTAAAAAAATAAAAATAGATTTGGATCATGGGCCAGAGCTACTTGGGTTTAGCCCGCCCTTGTCTCCCCTTAGAGGGGAGGGGTGAAACTTGGATTTTGGGTGTGTTTGAATTCAGCCTCTCGGCCTTGTTGACTTTACGAAAGTAGACTAGGGCATAAATTATTAATAAGTTTATAACTCAAGATTTACGTTTAAAATATTAACGGTTTCCAAATTGACAAGTTGGATACTGATTTGGTCAAATTTGGTGGGCGGACCTCCAAGTCTGAAAAAAACATCTTTAACATATTGTACCTGAAGTTCAATTTATTTTATTTTTAATTTTTTAAAATTATATTGAAAATATTATAAATTATAATAACTATTTGGGACACATAATTAAATTAAGAGAGAGAAAGTAACTCATGTATAATGAAATGCGGCTTCTTTGTCTCTATTTTTTCGAAGTTTCTATTTGGATTAATGACACATGACATATTATTTAAATTTTTGGCTAGAAATCAATTATTTGAACAAAGCCCTAATTATGATTAAAATAACTAATATAAATTCATTGAATAGTGCATTGTCCATTTGATTTACTTATGAATTAATTGAATTCATGTATGTATAATTTCCAGGTGATATGAATCTCCTAGTTTGGACATTTAACAAGGTGATCTTTGTGGGTGATATCCCAGCAATATAATTAGAGATATCATTCACCATTTGAATGACAAACTTGAATAGAAGAAAAATATTCTTCTTCATCTATATTTTTTGTCTTCTTATTTTTATATTTATATTATTCCGAGCTTGAGTTTATATATTTTCTCTTAATTTTTTTTTACAATCCCACAATTCTAAATCCATATTTTAAAAATTCTTCTTGAGTTTGATTTTCTAAATATCTAATCGCTTTATCTAACTTACTCATTAATCATTATAATATTATAAAAAAAGTCAACTCTCCCTCTACGATATATATTCGACAACTTATTACCAATAATTCTTTTATGCAACTTTACTATTTTTCTATTAATATAAATTACCTATATATTCTTATATGATATTCTGTGCAGAAATAATATTTTAACCGGTAAGAGGGTTAATAAGGGATTGAAAATCACGCTCTAACAATAACGGTGGTTGGTAAGGGAAGGTCAAAAACAACAAAAAGGATAAAATTCTCCGCCATAATCAACTACTCCACTAGTACAGACAGCAGCCATACTTAACCAACGGCTTCCAGTCTCCTTCTGACTCTCAACCATCCGATCTCTGTATAATTAGGTACAGATTCGTATCTCAGGAGTCAGGACTAACGGAAAACGGGAAGAGAGATGGAGGTGAGAGCTAGAGCCCCAGGGAAAATCATAGTGGCTGGAGAACATGCTGTGGTTCACGGATCAGCTGCCGTCGCTGCCTCTATCGATCTCTATACTTACGTCTCCCTTCGCTTTCCTACTCCTGCTGGTATACATTCTACTCCAAATTAGTTGTAAATGTGATTTCTGAATCCAATTGAGGTTGTTGAGTTCTTAATTCACATATATATCGAGTGTTTGAGGCTTTTATTGAGCTCGATTGTGGGATTTTTTTTAAAACTTTAGGAGAATTCCTGTCTGGTTTCTAGTTGACAAACGATTTTCAATTTTATGCCTTTTCAACTCTGTTCTCATTTATCAGGAGGAGAAGTATGTTAAAATATAGTCTTTGCACTTTATTCTTCATCATGTATGCTTGTCTTTGTTGCCAACCTTCCTAACTGATCTAACACTGAAAGTGATCCATCAAAGACGATTTTTCTCCATAGCAAAGGAACCTAAGAGACATTGAGTTTTCTCAAAAAATGTATAATTATATGATGAAGTGTAGAGAATGTTATTCTGATGGTTGAGTTTTAGGCTTTTAGTTGTTAACGGGACTGAATGATTGGTTAATGTTTACTGTGTTATGCTCATTGTTCTCTACCACTACTCTGATATTGAGATAAGATACTGGAGTTCATACTGACCTCTAGGATTTGTCACATATGCTAGGTCTATCCTAAAAATGGATGAACTAAGATAGAAACATGATAAATTTGCTTAATTTCAACTTTTACTTGTCTAAAGAAGGTTATTTTTCTTTGAAAGACCAAAACAAAGAAAAATCACGTTTACCCAAACTGTTGTTTCCTTTTTCATTTTAACCCTAATATGTTTACTGAATTATTCATTTTGTTTTTCTCAAATTATGTTTCTTTTCTTCTGAATTTCTTCGGGAAATAGATAATGACGAAACACTAAGCCTCCAGCTTAAGGATGTGTCCTTAGAATTTTCCTGGCCAATTGCAAGAATTAAAGAGGCTTTTCCAAACTTGGAAAATCCGATTCCACCTTCCTCATGCTCGCTGGAGACTCTTAAATTAATTGCTTCTTTAGTCGATGAGCAGAACATTCCTGAGGCAAATATAGGTCTCGCTGCTGGTGTCACAGCTTTTCTTTGGCTGTTCACCTCAATCCATGGGTATTAACTTTCATTCCTTTACTTGACCACTTGACATTCATAAAACAGATTCCATAATATCACATTGACTTTCTCTTTGATTGCCTTATTAGATGCAAACCAGCTAAAGCAGTTGTCAATTCTGAGCTTCCATTGGGATCAGGCTTGGGTTCGTCCGCAGCTTTTTGTGTTGCACTCTCCGCAGCCATTCTTGCTTTGTCAGATTCAGTCACTATGGATTTCAGCCACCAAGGGTGGCAAGTATTTGGAGAGAATGAGCTGGAATTGGTGAATAAATGGGCTTTCGAAGGCGAGAAAATAATTCATGGGAAGCCATCTGGTATTGACAACACAGTGAGCACATATGGTATGTGACAATAGCCATTGTTACTATATCTACTTTCCTTTTATGATATGTTAACGGATCACAGAACAAAGAGAAAACATCGCAGTCAAGCTGACAAAGGGGCATTAAAGCATATAGTTTTGGCTTAAGCGGGTAAAAAGAAAATATGCTAATTTGTGACTGAGAAGTAAGAAATTGGTAGGACTGTGGGAATTAATAATCATCTATTAAGATAAAAGAAGATATCTTAAAGAACTTATGCGTGCAAGAAAAAACATGTAATTAACTTGAAAGCCTCCCATAATTAAACATTATACTTGAGATTCTAATAAGTAACACCATAGTCACGAAAAGACATTTTTGTTTATATATGTCTAGCTGCCTTAAAACGACTCTAGGATAACAGCTTAATCTAAGGGGAATTGTGTTATAAAAGAATTTCACAAGAGGAATTCATTAGGCTAGTTAAAAATATTCCTATCTCTGACCAGCCGTTGGTATGCTGTGTTCTCCTACTTTTGTGTAAAAAAATCTGCTTGTTAAATTCATCTAGAACACCCACTTCAAACAGTTGCAGTTGTTTTTTGGTAATTATGCTTTTGGAACAATGACATGAATAAGAGGTATCCTCAGTGCTCTATGAAGAACTATTGAGATTCAATTATGGATTGTAACATATTAGCAACACTTATTTTATCTTCTATACAACTCTTTAAATCTCCCTAGGTATCTCAAATATTTGTCGAATGATAAAAGACATCTTGTTGTTTGTTTGAGAGCTATATCTGTTATATTGCCAGTCAAACCAGAATCAAACAAGAACTGGAAACAATGTAAACATAAGCTCCTTCTAATATCTACAGATCTTTTACTTCTGTGGTAATTTTAGGCAAACAAGTTAACCTCTTCATGTCCACACCCCAAAAGTAAAGTTTTAGAGGAAGTAACTTGAAACAAAGACTAATGTTCACTGGAAATAGGTCTAATAACTGTTGACAGATAATCAAGACTCATATTGCATGGCGGATGGCCCAATATCTAAAAGAAACCTTGCCTTACAAGTTAAATTATGTTGGTTTTTCACTTTTTGAGTCTACGGCTCTTTAGACATGATGTAAAGCGCTGGAGACAGAAAAACATCATTTTAGGGTAAATGGGCACAGTCAGCATAGAAAAGATTCTACCAGTCACAATCTAAACATGTCATTACTTACTCACAAAGGGAAATGCAAATTATTTCTTTTCACTTTGCATGTTCTATGTTGCTCAATAATCATAACTTTTTGTTTGCAGGGAGAAGAGAATTGTTCTCTCTTCTTCTTTTGCAGTTCTACCGATTAAACTTCACATATATGTCCTGTTTATATTTGGTCTCACAAAACATACAATGAGGTCTTAGATCCATTAGAGAATCTGATTTTTGCTATTCATGAAGGTAATGAACTGTTACAGATGGTTATCTAATTAGAACAGATGAGCTATTTTAAAATTGATGTTTGCTTGGCAAAGATTGCTTGGGGAGCTCCTGAATTACAATGTTAATTTCTCTCATGTGCATTGGCAGCGTTTTGACACTCTTCTCCTTTTATGTGGCATTTTTTTTGGGACACGGGGTTTGTATAGTCACTTGCCCTTCTGTTCCTCCTACTATCATCAAGGTATCTTGTACATGATTTGCCTGAAATATTTTCCATGGTAGATTTTTCTTCTATGGTTAAGAAACATAGGATACTTCTAATTTTCAGATAGTCAATGGAAGGATATGTCAGGATTTTAATGACTTCGCAACCTATAACTTTACATACAGGAAACATGATCAAGTTTAAGTCAGGCGATTTGACACGCCTCAAAACAAACATGCCACTTAAAATGTTGATCACTAACACAAAGGTTGGGAGAAATACAAAGGCATTGGTGGCTAGCGTCTCCGAGAGGACCTTGAGGCATCCGACTGCAATGGCTTCTGTGTTTACTGCAGTGGATTCTATCAGTAATGAGGTGGCTGCAATTATTCAATCACCTGTCTCTGATGATCTTGCCATAACTGAGAAAGAAGAAAAACTGGCAGAGTTGATGGAGATGAACCAAGGATTGCTTCAGTGCATGGGTGTTAGCCATGCTTCCATAGAAACTATTCTTCGAACAACTCTAAAGTACAAACTGTCTACCAAGTTAACTGGAGCTGGTGGTGGAGGCTGTGTTTTGACATTACTACCAACCCGTATCCTTTAATCTATTTTCCTTCTGATAAATGCTTTCTAATCACAATGTGCTATTTATATGATATCTCTACTCACTATTGACATTTTTGGAGTTACTCTGTTTCTCCAGGATATTATACTTCTAAACTCTAATCTGCTTTACCTGGGATGCATTGGCCATCCCCATGCACATTAAGCTTAGGTTCTTGAACATTACTCTAAAAAGGTAAAAAAGTTATTCACTAGGTCACAGTTCTATATACAGAGATGGACAACATTCTTTATCACTAACATTTTCTGCATAGTGACATTTGTTTTTTGCTTGTGGAATCTACATCTTATTTAGAAGTATGAACTGCAATTCTTGCCTTAACTAAGCGAGTCTGGAATATGTAATATTTGCTTTCTTCTTCTCACCGTTTCACATCCCTGTGTGTCCCACTGTTTGTCAAGTTTCTCATTTCCTTTTTCTGGGAACAAAAAACATATGCACATGAAAGCATTTTGTCAAGTTTTTCTTAGAACAAAGAGCATATGCGCATGAAAGCATTCGTTTTAATTGATTGAAATTATATGACTCTGCAACTATTTTACATGGTTATATCCAACTTTACTGAAATTACACAATTCAACAGCCTATTTTACAGGTGTTATATCCATCTCTTCTTGCCTGGTCTACTTGATGCTTTTGTTAATTGATTGAAACTACATCTATTTTACAGGGTTATATCCATCTTTACTGAAGTTACATAATTCTACCGATATTTTACAGTGTTATATCCATCTCTTCTTGGTTGATATACTTGATCTTTGACATGTCTGAAAAACCAACCACTAGACACTAATCTTCTCTATTAATAGCATTAATCATGTCTGCTGCCGAGTTCCCACATTTCAGCCTAGCCTTCTTTAAACTTTCCTTGACAACAATTTCCAGTTCTATCAGGAACAGTCGTTGATAAAGTGATAGCTGATTTAGAAACATGCGGATTCCAATGCCTGCTTGCTGGAATTGGTGGAAATGGCGTAGAATTTTCATATAGCGGCATTCCTGATATAGGAGACAACGGAGGCAATTTGTCATGAGATCTATCTCTGCACTCTTGAATGTGGACATGGAGGTGCGCTTCGCAATCTAAAGAAACTCAGATCCCCGCCATCAACTTGTTTTATAGTTCAGGTCTTTGATTAAAAACTTGCAATAATTATAGAGACAAATTTCATTTAGTTTTCTTTTTATTTCTTCTCGACAAAAATATAAATGGCAATTGGAAAATTCCCCGTTTTGATAATTGGAAGCACACGTTAATTAATTTTACTTCCAAAGTTACTCTTGTTGGTTCCTCCTATTTACTTGTCCTCCAATTTGTTTAATTTCGTTATCCAGTTGCTATCGGCTTCTTCCAGACAATATCTAAGAGCAGATGAACCTTGTTTTAAGGGACACCAAAGCGCAGACACAAATAAAGAGACAAAAGCGTATTTTTCATTGCAACTTATAAAGATACTGAGTGGAGTATTATTCTATTAATACCACTTCACTGTGGAGACCATAATAGTACAAAACACAGATAGTACATTAAAACTAACACAAAACAGATAAAAGTTTTCCACGTAAGCTGACAAAAGCTCCCAAAGAGACTTTTAAGCATTGACTATCGTCCCACCTGCAAACCAACAATATACAACATTCAGATCATATGCTCAATCTAAGGATAACATATTAGTTTTAATTTTAGCAACGTGGCTATGTAAAGGCCCAGCATACCATTAGGGTGGATAACTTGGCCAGTTATATAGGAGGATTCCGGGCAAGAAGCCAGGAAAACATACGACGGGGCCACCTCTATAGGCTGAGCAGCCCTCTTCATTGGCACTTGTTTACCAAAATTTGCACATTCCTCTTCAGAAAACGAAGCTGGAATCAGTGGTGTCCAAACTGGGCCGGGGGCAACACCATTAACGCGTATGCCCCTTTCCACAAGCTGAAGGGCAAGTCCTCTAGTAAATGAAACAATTGCACCCTTTGTGGCTGTGTAATCAAGAAGTTTTGCATTCCCCTTGTATGCATTCACTGATGTTGTGTTTATTATGCTGCTACCTTCCTTCATATGTTTCAAAGCATGCCTGCAGCCAAAACATTCATTTGAATTGTACAGAAGTACTGTAAAACTTACCTTACACTATAATTGTGTAAATCTTCTTAAAATAGGACCAACCTAGTGACAAAGAAGTAAGAGAAGATGTTAGTTCTAAAAACTCTCTCAAGCCTTTCCTCATTGATCTCCTCAACCGAACTAGCTTCGTACTGCTCTGCAGCATTGTTCACCAGAATATCAATCCGGCCATAGGAATTTACAACCTCATCAACCACTCTCTTGCAATTGTCATCGAATCCCAAGTCCGTTGGCACCGCCATTGGGTCCTTTGCATCTGCTGCCTTGGCTTGCATTAGCAATTTAAGTGTGTCTTGCGCATCTTTTTCTTCTTGAGACTTGACGTAAGTGAAGGCCACAGTTGCACCTTCCAGTGCAAAGCAATGGCACACTGCTCGTCCAATCCCGGAATCGCCTCCGGTCACCAGCGCTATTTTGCCCTTCACATTATCAAAATAAAGAGCTTATTAAACTACTCCCTCTCTGCCACTTCACTTTTCTTTTGTCTTCTCTTTTTAGTCTCATCTATCCAAAAAAAAGAATATCTATCTTCTCATAATTAAAAAAAAATAAAAATTGATTTTTTCTTAAACCTTATGTGAAGATCAAAGTTAAAGATGCTAGATAAACTGGAACAGAATAATACTACACAAAGGCGTATTCTCCAAGCATGCACAGTACACTTCAGACTTCCCTTCGTACTTGAGCCTAAGAACTAAATGCAATTTGTAAAAGTTTGCGGTAGCAGGTAAGAAATGAAGAAAATACTGAAGGGAATTAAGAAAAGAGGATTAAATACTCGAAGCTTATTAGCAGGCTTGTAGTCCTGGCTAGAATAGTGAGGAGTAGGGTCCATGGCATGTTCCTTGCCAGGCTGAGTTTCTTGTTTCTGGGGTGGGAATGTTTGTCCACCTGAAGCCATTGATCTCACGATAATATTAACCGGAGGATATGATCTTCTTCTCTTAGTGTTGTTGTTAGTAAAGAAGCTGCAGGGAGAAATTAGGTGAGTAGTGAAAGTGGAAGACAAAGCTCTAGCTGAACAAGGCAGAAAACGAGAGCACATTACCCTTATATACGAAGAAAAGTAGTGGTGAGTGATGAATGGATATACTTGGCAAATTAAGGAGGTGTTTTATATGTATGTACACGGAGGAGGAAGAGGGAAACGGTGGAAGAGTAGCAGCTAGGACGTGTCTTGTTAAGCCGCATGCAGTACTGGACACGTCTGTAGAAACGCACGTCATAATTAAGGTGTGTTCGGCGGACCAGCTTCAGCTGATCATCTTTAACAATGTAGCAATTAAGTGGATTTTTTATATATATAAAAATAAGGTTGGAGTACTTTACAGGTGCCAATAAGAGGTATATTTAGATTGGTGTAAGAGGTTAACTTTATGCGTCACATGCTTTGCATGTCCGCAACGTGTTATTATCATGCAAATTTCCATACGGCGCGGCGCTCAATTTCTCTTGGGAGTTTGAGAAAACTAAGCTTATATCCGTTTAACTCTCCATAATCTACTACTCTACAGCAAGAAAGTCTCATATTCCAGTGGAAACAAATTTGATAAAGTGGTTTACTGATCAGAAACGTAAAATGGCGTCACTTCGAGTTTCTCCTGCTACTTTTTTACTTCTGCTTGCACCGCTCCTTATCTTGGCTACGGTGAACTGCGATGGTGCACTCTCTCTCTCTTTTACTTTTTTTCTTAATCCTTTCTTCATTAATTCATTGTATATATTAGCAGCTTCTTTCCATGGTTGTTACATTTCTAATCATAATCCGACAAACCAATTTTGAAATGAAGGGAGCATAATATATTGTGTTGTAATTTATTGTAGGATGAGATTATAAGAAAAGTAGGGGTATATATCTACGGGTAGAACTGTTATAAAAGGACAAATAGTACATATATATAAGGTAGAGTGGACAAAATACAATTATCAGATATTGAACAAAGAAAAACTGAGGATAAAAAGGGTAAGGATTTGATCATTACCAAATCGATTGTTGGATAAAATGGGGATTTTTTTTCTGTTACACAATAATAGATGTAACGATACAATATAATAAAATCGAATCTAAATTTAAGTAACAACCAAAATAAACATAGTACACTTAGTACAGTAAGGATTTGAATTTGTTTTCACCAACAGTGTTATAAACTTTCAGCATATATAGTTAACCCTACTTGTTTTACTTATTACGTTGGAGTATAAGTTTCACTTATTATGAATATTACTTAAAAATTACCTCAAGCCGATATGATAGTGGTTTACAATATATTGTATATACTAGTACTACAGAGCAATATATACCAGTATAAAATTTACGAAAACCAATAAACTGCTTTTTGTAGATCTTTAATTACTACAGTTTCTAATAACTTGGATATGGAACCGGGTATAATATAAACAAATTTTGATTTTTGCCATGATTTTAGTGCCTGTTTAGTGTTGCCGCAATGGCACAATGCAGAAATTGATTTAATTATATATTATGAGATGTTTAGTCTAAGTAATGCGTAACGCGCATATTATCAAGAGATCTTTTAGTCTTTTAATTCGTCCTTGGCGATGTTCTCAGTATAATATATATAATATATATATATATATATATATGATCATCAAAAATCAATGTATAACAGCTAGAAAAAGGAAAAAGGTAAAAAATAAATAGTAAATCTGACTGATTATTTGTGTGAAGATTCCGTTAAAATATTGATATGTTATGGCAGATGAAGAAGGTCACGTCCTTTCCGGTATCAACAGTTACCGGCAATCCCACAACTTACCAGCCCTAACGAAGCAGGACAAGGCAGATTGTCTAGCGGATGAAATTGCAGATGAGTTGGAAAACCAACCATGCCCGAGTGGCGGCATTACTCCCGCTCCTGCATCTCAATTTGCTCAGTACCCCAAACTTTTAGACAAGTGCGACATTGACATTAACACAACAGCTGAAGGCGTTATCCTCCCTGTTTGCGTCCACAATCGTGTTGCGACCCTAGTGCTAACGAACTATACTCAGTCTCGGCATGCGGGGTACCTTAACAATTCTAAGTATACTGGAGCTGGAATTGGCACTGAGAAAGACTGGACTGTTGTTGTCTTGACCACGAATACTGTCGCTGGTAGCTTTACTAGTGGAGTTAATAGTAGTGTGTTTGGTACGAGTACTATTCATTATTATTTGATGTTTGTCTTGTTAGGTCTCTTCCTAGCTAGTTAATTATGTCCATTTATTGATGTAACTAGTATTTACGTTAGTCCTTAATTATCTGTATCGACTGTTCTACTGTACATGTATGTATTCCAAGTATCAGGGTAATTAAATTCACTTTTAAATAGTAAAATTGTGTAATGAATTGTCATGATAATTTTGAAAGTGCAACTGATTTTTTGAAATAAGTTTAAGGGGAAATTTATGTCTTTTTCCTTTGGATTATTACAAGTATGTATGACTACTATAAATTTGTTGAATTTAGGAAAAGAAGGGACCACATAGTGGAGTACAAGGGTGAATATTACGTCTAAATCGCACTAAAGGGGGGAACACATTGGAATTTTCAGCCGCTAATGCCGTTGTAATGGCATATGCAGTTGGACGATATAATTTCTTTAATTTGATGTTTGATATTTACATTTTTTAATTTAATGTTCGATATGTACATTGAATCGTTGTTAAATTCGGATGATATATATTTATTCACAGTTCATTAACCTTTTAAATCATCTCTTTCCAACTTAAAAGTAGTAAGAATATTACAAGAAAATCTTAATAGTGGTAATTAATTTATCCTGTTTCTTTTTTTGTTTCAGAGACTTAATTACTATGGACTTTTGGCTTAAAACTAAAATGAAAATAGACAAATAAATTGATATTGATAAACTTTTGCATTGCAAAGCTACTTTATGTAACTCACAACTAATTTTCCAATGATTTATAAAAATGAGAGAGATTAATTCTTTCCAACGAGATAAACATTTTTTTAATCAACGAAATATTTAAACTGAACATAAATAAGTAACATATCATCAAAAAATATAATAAGTGATTTTCTAACTCCATACTAATGTTTGTTTAATTTTTACAAAATAGAAATATGTCTATCTTTTTAAAAAAATCTTTCATAATTTTATATTTACAAATATTTGAAAAATAAGTTAGAAACTATTTAACAAGTGATTTTCTTGATCGGTTAATTGGTCACATTTTATTCATGAAATATAGTTTTATTAGTTATTGCCAAATAGTTTCGGTGTTGATAGGTAATTTTCTATTAAAAGTCGAGTAAGTAAAACTAGTCGGAGTTTGGGCGGTTGAGACCGCAAAATGGAACTCGACGGGATCGCCGCGGGAATAAAGTGACACAAAACCGCCGCGCAGCATCGCCGCTTTTTGGAGTCTGTCAACTATGGAGGATGACGATGATAGCTTTGGCGATTTCACCTTTGCATCTTTTTCCACCAATTCCCTGAATACCCAATTCACCCCACCCAAATCAATCACCCCCCCTGAAGATGATGAATGGGGTGATTTCGTCGAATACCCTAGTGGATCTGAGCCTTCCACTGCATCCTCCCTCACCCAATCGAAACCCTTCGACCCTTTTGGTTTCTCCACTAATACTGCTTCCGTTTCTGAATCTCCGTCCAAATCTGAACAAACCAAGAAGACAACTGGGTGGGTGAAACCTTCTGGAGCTCTTCCACTATCATTATTCGGTGAGGAAGAAAATGCTGAGGAGGAAGAGAAAGAAAAGCCTGCTAAAGAGGATACGAATACTAAAGTAAGAAACGGATCTAATGCTAATTTGGGTTATGGATTTGATTCAACTATTTCTAACTTATACAATCAGAAGTTGAAATCTGAAAATGGGTCACTTTCAAATTCCGATAATTTGGTAGGCCTGGATAGTGTTAATTCGAATTCCAAAATGTCTGCATTACAGTCGAATGGATTGGGGTTCGATCCGAATTTGGGTTCTCCCTGTGTTAGTAGAGTGCAGAGTTTGAACTACCTGGCGAGCTTGATTGGTGAAGATCAACAGATCAGGGCACAAAGTATGGGTCTTGTGTTGGATTCGAATAATTTTAGTTCTTCTGCTAATGTATCAAGTTCAATTTTTAATATGTCGAATCCAGATTTTGATATGTCCAAATCTACTCTGAGTGGATTGAATAGAACTTTGAGTGCAGATGCTGTAACAAGTTTGAATAATCATGGTCTGCAGATCAAGACTGGAAGTACTGGCCTTGTTTTCGAGTCAAATGCATTGAGTTCGTCAGCAAATTTTACAAGTTCAAGTTTTGGTGTGTGGAATCCGGATTTCCATATGTCCAAATCCAATCAGAATGGATTGAGTAGAACTTCGAGCCTGGATGTTATATCAAACTTGAATGATCAGGGTCAGAATGTGGGAATTGGTCTTAATTTAACTGGTGTAAGTTCTTCTTCAGCTGCCACCAGTTCAAGTGTGTGGAATGTGGATAGTAATAGGTCCAAATCCAATCAGACTGGATTGAACAGAGCACTGAGCCTGGATGCTCTAACAAACTTGAATGATCAGGCTCAGCAGATCAAGACTGAAAATAGTGGGCTTGTTCCCAATTCAAATGGTTCTAGTTCTTCTGCAAATGCATCAAGTTCAACTTTTGGTGGATGGAATTTTGATTTTGGAGGATTTGGATCCGCTGTTGAAATGTCAAATTCTAGTTCCGATGTTGGTGGGTTGAATTCAAACATCAATGCCGTTAGCTCAAGTGCAGATTTGGATGATTCTCACAACAACAATGATGACGATGAGGATGGATGGGAGTTCAAGGATGCTTACTCAATTTCTAAAGTTGGAGATTATAATAGTAAGGTAAAGCTTGACAGTTCTAAGATCAATACTAGTTATGGTGTGCACTAGTGCAATAAAATAAAGTTATGTTGTGTACTAGTGTAAAACCTTCTCTGCACTACTTTTAAGCTCATATTGTGACATGTGATATTGGAGTCCTCTGCATCAATTTTGACTGTAGGACGGGAATTCCACGGGTTATTGTTTATTTTCAGGTTTCCCATTCTTCAATTGCTGCACAGCAAGATGTATTTTTTTTGGTGGTCAGTTCAGTTACAGAACTGCTTGCTATGCCTTATACTGTTCAAGTGTTACTTTTTTGGTAATTATTTTGTCTATTCACAATTCATGCAATATTGTTGTTTTGGTTACTCTTTTTTGTCGACACTAGGGCATGACTCGGTCAGGAGCCCCCCCTCTGATTAGAGATTGTATTGGGGAATTGGGGAAAGACAACTCCTTACGTACCTTTAAAGACACATTATTTAGTGTTTGGATGAAATGTGATCGAATTGAGTAGAGTGGACATAGAGGATTCCTAATCTAGTTTGAGACTGAGGAATAGCTGATTGATTTCTTGGTTGGTTGCCTTTTTTGTTCTTATTTAACTTATTTTGGCTAGTTTGTATGCATGAAGGTGTTTATGGTTCACTAATCTTGTTCCTTGTGTGTGAAGGCTACATCAGAGGCAAAAAAAGAGCATGAAAGTAATGCCTTCTCTTTCGATTTTCACAATGGATTGAATGGCTCAGTTGACTTGTTTGCAACATCAAACAGATCAGCAACATCTGATTCAGAGGCACATCATGCTGGTCACATGCAAGCATATTCCTCTGGGTTCGGCAATAGTTCTTTGGATTTATTCACCATGTCAAGTCAACCAATTGATCTATTCGCGACATGTAATGGAATTTCTGCTGTTCACCTGACAATATATTTGGATTTGATTCTGAACCATTTATGGCATCTAAACCTGTGTATATTTCAGCATCAGATGGTAGACATGAGCAAAAAGAGAGAAATGGTGCACTGGACCCTCATCCAGTTGTTGGGAGCGCTGAATCCGATGAGGATTTTGGGGAATTTACAACGGCATCTTCAGATTCTGGATTGAAATTAGAGGTAATTTCATATTGATCTATTTCTGATTAGATGCTATTACTGGAGTTCTCCCTTTACAGGCCATTCTTCTAATCTTTTTGTGCAGGAAGAATGGAATGTGGGTGATGTTGCTCATTCTGAACTCCAAGCTTCCGAATCTGATGATAAAGACCAGGTAAACGGTTGATTTAATGGTACTTCCCCTGGTTAAGAAACTACCATCTTTTTGTTGGAAAAAAATTAATCCCTTCTCTCGCTTTTTCCTCCTTTATTTTCATATATTTTGTTAAGTTTAGTTAGCAATCTAGATTTTGTTGGAGATAGTCTGTGTGTAGTATTTACTTGTTTCTTTTGGCTCTTCTTCCCATATTTTTCTTTTTTTCGTTTTGCTTAATATTTGGACATTTTTAGAGATAAGTCTTCGTTCAGCAGTTAGGATATTCCTTTTGCATTTTCTTCTCTTTTTTGTTCCTTTTTTTTTTTTTTTTCTTTTTCAAAATAGGTTAACAATTTGGACCTTGTTATAATTTGTTCCTTCTGCGTTACATTCTGGTCATGGTGAATTCTTTGCCCCTGTCAATTATAGTATTTCTGTTTTACGTGTAATGTATAAGTAATGTGCTGAAATTTGATATGTAAGACCCAATCGCCCTTGTCTTTTTCATGCCTACAACCATGGTGCCTGCCTGTATCTCTGGTAAATTTCTCCCTTCCTTGTTCCATTGATGCTGGATTTGTGCAGGGTATTCTTTTTCTAGATTATTTGGCCATTTGGAGCTTTGAATTCCTTTAGAAAAGAACGATGTTTCCTTGCATACATTAATAATAAATCTCTAAGCTTTCTACTCTTGGTGGGATGTGCGGATGTGTGAGTTGGTATAATGGTTGGCCTATTCTACACTCATAGGCTGTGACTTAGTGGTCAATGAAGTGGGTTGAGAACCATGAGGTCTAAGGTTCTAATCTCAGCAGAGACAAAATGTGTAATTGTTGGGCTATTCTACACCCAAAAGGGTGTGGCCTAGTGGTTGATGAAGTGGATTGAGAACCATGAGGTCTAAGGTTCTAATCTCAGCAGAGACAAAATGTGTAATTGTTGGGCTATTCTACACCCAAAAGGGTGTGGCCTAGTGGTTGATGAAGTGGATTGAGAACCATGAGGTCTCAGATTCAATTCCAGCCGAGACAAAAGCACTAGGTGATTTCTTCCTATCTGTCCTAGCCTTGGTGGACAGACCTGTTGGTGGTGGGAGGTGGCACCTGTGAATTCAATCGAGGTGCGCATAAGCTGGTCTGGACATCACAGTTGTAAAAAAATTGGTTGGGCAATTCTTCTACTTTTTAATTTTTTTAATGAGTGTTAGGTTATTTTTATAGGTAGGAACTCATAATTAAATGAGATACATGTATAGTAACTACCATATTTAG